GGATTTTGGGCATGCACGCACACGCACACACACACACACACACACACACACACACACACACACACACCTGGCATGAGTTTTAAGCCATCAGGTCTGGGACTCGAACCGCGGTCGACTATGTGGGGAGTCCAACAACATACCCATTACACCATTCGCTGGTCCCAGCAGGGCACATTATTAAAGTCAGTTATGCAATCTAAATTAAAATCTAAGGTAGAGCAGAGACAGACCTGGGGAGATGAAAGTTTCAAGCAAGAATCTTGAGTACACCGACTTTTTTTCTTTTGCTACTAGAATTGATAAATAAATAATCGTTAGTTGCTCTCACTGAACACTAATCTTAATCAGTTTTGTGCCTACCAGATGGCAGTAAAAATGATGAAAGATGATAAAGAATAAACACTGCGTGTTGCAACACCTTAGAGCAAGAGCTAGTGAGAGCTTTATTGCTTCTTGGTGGAACAGGAAGGACTGGAGAATAAGATGACAACAAATGTCATCTGGAAGAGGGGAACTTGTTTTTATGGTTTTGTTTTTGAAAATGCTTTTATAATTAGTTAATCATAAGCTTTGTAACTGGATAAACTTCTGCAAACCTCTATTTCTTAGATTATCACCAAAGACTACTGGGAAACACCAGTTTGTCTTAAGAACACAAAGGAAATGATATGTGACTTCCAACATATTCTTGGGTTTCTTTAAAGTCCAACGCTGGACAGACAGCTTGTGACAGATTTATGAAGGCGGGCTCCCGTGGATCGTGATTAAAAGCGGGATTATTGGCAAGGCACTAAGCATTGTGCCTGGAATATAAATGACGACGGCTATTAATTATTGTTATTGTGCCTGTGGGTTGATCACGAGAGGAGGTGCTAACCTGCAGGCCTGCGTGCTGTGACTGCAGAGGGGCGAGGAAAGGCCCCTGGCCCTGCAATTCCAGGTTCACTCTCAGGGCTCTGTGCTCCCTTACATGCAAATACTCCTTAGTAGCCAGCTATGCATTGGTATGAGTAAGTTTATTAGACTTTTTAGAAGACCACTGTCAAGAGTAAAGAAAAATACCAAGACTAAACCGCCAGGCAACTCTGAAGCTGAAGGCAGCGACAGCCAAAGCTAACTGCCCAGGAGTCCCTGGTATGTCACGTGCACCAGCTACCATGAGCACTGTCCTCAACACTGGACCATCTGGGACATGAAAATTCCGACTGCCAAGGGCATGAAGAGAAGAGCTTCTTTACAGATTCGGCAACCCAGCATCAACACTTCTCCTTAGTGGTAGTGTAGCAGTCCATGCTTTCTGGATATGTCCAGCTTAGGCAAATGGCACGTGCTTTAGGGATGCCTGAGAAGGGAAAGGTTTTTCCCCCCGGCCCCGCACCATGGCTGCGACCGGTGGCGGGACTTGCGCGGGCCCTCCTGGGCTCAGTGCGTTCCCCCGGGGACCCGCGCCAAGGCGGCGGCAGGTGCCGCCGTGCCCTCCCCCCGCCCTCCGGCGAGGTCGTGTGGCCTCTGGGCCAACAAGCTGAAGTCGAAAACAAGGATTAAGAATTTACAACTATAAGCAACAGAAAGAATCTTTAGCTGTCTTAAACCAATTGAGAAATATACTGTATAGAAGGATTTTATCTACCTATGGACAGTGAGAAGATGATGGTTACCAGCCCTGCATTACCTCAGGGAAGAATAGGAACTACCCTACCATTCTTAGGGAAGCCAGATACCCAGGATAAGTCATGCTGCAGATCCCCACAACACCATTCCCGCTAACCACAAGATGGCTGCTGTGCCGCATCAACTGATAATCATCCCTGCTTACCAGAACCGCTTTCCTAAAACTGTATTCCAGGGAGACTCACCTACAATTGCAAAACTGCACGAGACCCACCCTTGATTCAACTTTGAATGGAATCTATGTTCCCTATTGTTAAAAGCTTTAAACTTGTGGCCCCTCTCCCTTTACTTGCATGTATTACATTTTCAATAACTCCTCTGGAAGACAACTGTATATAGCAGAGATAGTGTAATGGGAGAGGGGGAAAGGGCAGAGGGTCAAACATAGGATAAAAAACA